AAAACTTTAAAAAGGTCCTGTAGAGCAGATATGCCTAACGCAGCAATATGTCGTTTGCTTTCTTGACTGCTGCTTCCGTGAGTGTTGATAGTTGATCCAAGAAGAATGAAGTCCTTGACAACTTCAATCTTTTCTCTATTGATAAGAATGTTGTTTATTGGTCCAGTGGTGAGGAGTTTTGTTTTCTCTGCATCAACAGCCACCTGTAAAAACTCAAGATGGCTGTGCCTCTCCTGGTCAACCTATAATCCACCTGTTTCTCATCTCTCTCACTGCTCCTGTTCAGATTCCTCTTCCAATCAGCACTCAGTCCACCTCGCTGTCTTATCCTCTGAAGCTCAGGCTTCCAAGGTTTCCATCTGTATGTTTCATTTGGTCTCCCATGTCTTTGTTGCAGAGGACTGGCTCAGTGAAGTTGCTTACTCTGCCATCTTGCCCTAGACTCTTGTTCTGGTTCTTATGAGAACATTTGTCCAAGTACTTCTCCTTACCAGCAGTCCATCTCGGGTGCCAGGGCTCACCTGAAAGCTAACCTACATGTACAAAAATGTTTAATTATTTTTTTCCCCTTTTAAATCTGAGGGCTTAGTATATGCCAGCCACTTTACTGTTTTACATTCATTAAGATTTAATCTTCACACTTAATCCTGGGTCGCAGGTGTTACTTCTATCACCATTTTACAGGCAAGGAAGCTGAGGCTGAGAGAAATCCAGTAAATTGTTTAAAGTCCACAGTCAGAAGAGACAAAACCAGGAGTAGAAAACCAGGTACACCTAAGGCTTTCACTCCATCAGGAGTCTACTGCCTCTGCTGGGCTCCAAAAGTTTCAGATTGGTTTTTTTTTAAACAAGTAGCACATTATCAAAACAAATCTAACAAAATCAGCAGGTAGAAAAATGGGTAAAGGTTTCAAAAGGGTCTCTGGCACTAAGCTTCTAAATTATCTAGACAGTAAAATAAACAGAAAAAAAGCATTTCTTCTAACTATATTTTCACTAGGATGAGGAAGAATTATTTGGCAGCTAGCAGCGAATTCTGTTCTCATATTTTCCAGTTGAAAATAACTGAAAAATTCCCTTCACTCTTAAGCATATGTTTGGTGACTTTAATCACCATATAAGGAAATGAATGATTCTGAACTTCTCAGTTTCATCCGCTTTTGAGCAATAAAATTTTATTTGGACGCTAATAGTATAACGTTATTTTAAAATTAAGTACATCCATGGAAAACACAAGCTAAGAGTATTACCATATTTTGAGAAAGAGACAAAAATTTGAATTTTGGTAACATTCCAGACTGATGGAAACAAAAGCTTTTCTTTAAATTTAAAAAGAAAAATGTTGGTAGATGTGTAACAAAAACAAGGAGTGGTTCATCTTACAGTCCAGAAAGAGGACCCTAGGGCCATCAAGGGAGAAGAGCACAAGCAGAATGCGTGTCCTTATTCAGAGAAGCAGTGACACCAGAGACTGAGGCAGAGATGGGAACATGGAGAGAGGGAGCTGCTGAGGACTCTGGATTCATGGGGAGAGAGGGATTAAGAGCTGGTGGAAAGTAGGGAGACTTGTAGAATGTGCCCTTTGGAGGTGTAAATTATTATATAGACCTGAGTGTTATTGTTTTGTTGTTTTTTGTTTTTTTTTAAAAAGCTAAAGTGACTAGAGAGAAATATTAGAGAAATCTGTTAACTGATGGTACATGGAGGGGATTATAATCATTGTAATGAAACAAGGTGTATGATTTGTTGAATGTAAAACTGATGATCTGCCCTGTAAACTTTTACTCAATCCACAATAAAAAATTTTTTTAAATTGGGGCTACAAAGTAACAAAGTGGCTGGCTTACAAGCTTCCATAAGCTTGCTCAGCTTCTGAGGGGGGTAAGATAGAATTCCCACTGAATAGTTTTCCTCTTTTCAAGATGGGTCTAATAAAGGGGTGGAGGAGGATGGGGATAGGGTTTTACAATTCAATTGTATGTAATTGTTTCAGGACTAACTGCAATAGTCACAACTGTAAATGTAGAAGATGGGTAACTAATAGAGGGGAGCAGCTGATCTTCCATTTCAGGAGGGAAGAGCATGAATAGAGTATGAGATCCTATTGAGAAAATCAGTGACAGCTGAGACAGTGGCAGAGGTGGTGGCAGCTGAGGACTCTCAGGCCATGGACTGTGAACGGCTGTGTGCCTGTGGGCAAGAGGCTGGCTTGCAGAGTGTGCTCCTTTGGACAATTAAACAAACATGTATTTTCTGTTTAGTCTGCGTACATCAAAAAAAAAAAAAAAAAAGGCACAAAGGTAAATATGGTTGACTGATGTTCTACACAAATTTTTTTTAAATAGGAAACTTAGCTTGGTCTAGATAAACCCATATTTTAAAAACCCAATCATTAATTTTTGCTAAGTTATTTTAATCAAATTATATATATTAACATTTCTATTTAAAAATTATATAAGGGTACCTGCATAAAGGATATATCGAAGGCTAACTAAAGATATTATTGAAGAGTTATCTTAGAAAAAAATCATTCATTCATCAGCATTTATTGAACACCTATGGAGACAGAGATGGTTCTTACTTGCAAAGAAGAATGGTGAGAGAGTGTGACCAGTACTAGAATGGGGACCAAGGGAATGAAGAGGAAGCCTGGTTCTCTCTGTCCTGAGCAGGGATGTGCAAGCTCAGTTTTTCAGGAAGGGCAGAAATTTGTCAGACATAAGTGAAAACACAAGGGAAGAAGACAGCATTCTGGAGGAAGGAAAAGCTATGGGAAGTGAAGAAGGATGGTAGGTACTCTACCTAGAATTGTACTTGGTTCACAATGGTTGTAACACAGGGTGTTCATCAGAGTAATGGTGAAAAACGAGACTGGAACGAGAGACTCAGTCTAGATCATGATGATTAGTTTGCAAAGGAATGATGATTTTTCAGTTTGGTTCTGAAGTTGTCATGTAAAATGAGAACAGAGTAGATGCAGAAAGACCAGTTGCAAGACGGCAGATGTCTAGGTAAGGAGGAATACAAGTCAGTCAAGTTAGAATGATGTTTTTGTCCTGGCTGTAGTTAAGCACTGGACCACAAGGTCGGTAGTTCAAACCTACCAGCCTCTCCTTGGAAACCCTATGCAGGGTCACTATGAGTTGGAAGGGGCTTGTTGACACTCAATAACAACAACATAGTAAGCAATGAGTACTGATTACTTGTAACAAAAACAAAATTATATATCTAACAATGAAATGATCACATTTATTATGGCTCATCTAAGAGTATCCTTCAGTCAAAGTATCTTTATGAAATATCTTAAGTATACAAAATTGCATGTGTAGTTCATTAAACACTTGTGTCAAAAAGTGAAAGAAATGCATTAAAATAACAGGGAGGTTACAGTTAAATCGTGACCACAAGTATAAATTTTAGTATCAGAATAATTTTGAGTCTATATGTAGCTACAGTGCTTAGTTTTGTGGCTTGAATAGATTAGCCTTTTAAAATCTCAGTTCCCTAAAAGTAAAAGGACCCCCTTCTAAGAATGAAACTCAAAGTGAACACACAAGCAGTCTTGTATGCTCGCTGGTAACTGCCCTGGTCTACTTGTGAGCGGAAGTGGTGGAAATGCAGCAATGAAGACATGTGCTGAGTTTGGTCATGTTCCATTGATACTCAATGACCAGGCGATGAGAGAGAAGAGGAAAGCCTGGCTAGTCTGAAGTTTAAGGAGACGTGTGAACTCCTGAGACCATGGACACTGACCTAGCCATTGGGAGCTAGAGTTGCAAGTGAAGTGGTCAGCTGGCCTAAAGTGGGGTAAGTTGTACGAGAACTCCCAAACTTGGCAGATAGTACACATTTGACCTACCATGGATGGCTAGCTAATCAGAACTCAATCAGATGAAGATAAATAAGTTTGATACTGGAAGCAAGTGTAATTTGCTTTAATTTGATGAACTGCACCTTTACTTATGGGTGTAGTTGCTCAAAATTCCAACCGAAAGGGAAGGATTCTTTTAATCAAGTATGAAACTTGCCTTCTCAGTATACTGAGTTGACAGGGATGGGCAACTTAGACACTGGCAATCAAAAATGGAGAGCTATAAAAGCACAAAGTGGCTGACTTACAAGCTTTCATGAGTGTGCTTAGTTTCAGAACACGGGGGTAAGGTAAAATCCCCACGGAATAGTTTCCCTCTTTTCCAGATGGGTCTAGTGAAAGGAGATGGAGGATGATACGAATAGGATTTTAGAATTCAATTGTGAGTAACTGTTATCAGGACTAACTGAGATTGTCACAAGTGTAAATGTAGATGTATAACTAAAAGGGGGGAGTAGTTAATCTTTCATTTCAGGAACAGAAGACCCTCGGATCATCGAGAGGGAAGAGTATGAGTGGAACATGGGATTCTAACCAGAAAAGCTGCGACAGCAGAGACAATGACAGAGGAGATGGCATAGAGAGAGCAGTTGAGGATTCTAGGGTCCATGGAATAAGGAAGGCTGAATGTCCTCGGGCAGGAGGGTGGCTTGTAAAATGTGTTCTTTGTAACTTTAAACAAATACGTATTTTCTGTGTGGTATGTGTACATCAGGAAAAAAAAAAAGGCAGGGGAGAATGAATATAGGGAAATACTGTTAAATGAAGGTACATGGAGGGGACTATACTCATTGCAATGAAACAAAATATGATTTGTTGAATGTAAAACTGATGATCTGCCCTGTAAACTTTCACTCAATTCACAATAAAACCTTTAACAAGTTTCTTTTCAAATTTTCCAAACCAAACATATGAATATCACCTTTCTAATTAGAAAAAAGTTGTATGTTAAAAGAAATTAAGCCCTTAGTTAAAACATAAATAGTTGTGAAAAAATTTACAGGGTTCATGTATCAAAATGAGAAAAAATGCATCCAAGAGAGAAATGTGTTTGTCCGCATTATACATATTATCTATGTACATATTCTTGTCAATAAATGAGGAGAAAATAAAATAATTAGGGACTTACTGGTTTCCGAAGGAAGAAGATGGACAGAGCTCCAACTAAGGGCATATCTCCAATCAGTGGTTCCAAGATCACCCGCATTGTTCCATGAATCTAAGTTCAAACAGTGAAGCAAAGTACTATATAAAAATGTAACATTTTTTTACAGAGGCATTTACCTGATAAAGGGCTATGCATTATAACTGTAGTGAATTTTACACATTTGCATTCAAATTTCACCCAGGTATGATCTACAAACAAATGAATTAATTAACAAGCCTATTATTATTTTATCTTTAGGTATCAGCCAGGGGTGGGGAAGGATAGTTTGAATTCATATGGCTCAATTTTAAGAAGATAAGAAGAATCCCTCCCAATTCAGTGTGGAAAGAGCCCTAGTGGCTCAGTGTGTTGCACACTGGGTTGCAAACTGCAGGATGACAGTTCAAGCCCATCAGCTGCTCCTAGAGAAAAAAAATGAGATTTTTCAGTTCCCAAACAAGCAGCTATTTAAAAAAAAAAAAAAAAACCTCTCTGGTTACCATGAGTAGAACTAGATTCACTGCAGTAGGCTGATTATGTGAAGACATTTTTTTTTTTTAAAAAGAATCTTAAAAAGCCAAATTAAGACTTTAAGAGAAATAAATATAGGAAACGTTTAAATATTTCAACTTTTTTTTGAAAAGTTGTACGGCTTTAAAGTGTATGAGTAATTTTGACATCTTTAAGGAAATTTACTAGTCTTTTACAATCAGTGACAGAGCAAAGAACTTAAGCTGACAGGTTTTGGTTTCTGTTGTTAAGTGCTATCAAGTCAGTTCTGACTCATATTGACCCTACATAGCGTTTCTGAGGAGCGGCTTGCGATTTAAATGAGCTTGCAGTCAAGTAAGATGAGCATTTTGACAAATTTGCTACTTTTGAACCGTAGAAACATATTAGAAGACTCAGCGGGGACGCTCCAGATGGAGTTGCAAAGTTTTACACCCAGATTTTTTTTTTTTTTTTTAACACTTTTGTCATAACAGTTGTTACCATTGGAGTAGAGAGTAAAATTATTAATAAGGGACATCAGACTGTAATTAATATTGCACACTATAAAAAATATTAGAATCCTAGAAGAAAAATGGAAAACCAAAGTAGATACATCCTTAAACATTGGCAGTTTTTGTTATCACATAAATCTTTACAGATAAAAGGTTAATTTTCTGACCTCTTTTAGTCCTCGTCTAGGCTTTTCTAACTTTCTGGGGTTTTCATTTATAATCAGCCCAGACCTTGGAGATCTTTTTCTGTATTCTACTTCTGGTTCATCGTGCTGGGATAAAAACAACTGTCATGTATCTTCTGGGATACTGATGTCCTAATAGAATCTCTGTGGATGTATTTCTGAGTTGTTGAAGCCCAGGAATAATATGGTTTTATTCTGGTTTAATCCAGGTTTAATTACGTGTGGGTATATAATAAATATAATTGAACAAGCATCCTAGCTGCAACTTAGTTGAGATTTTTTTCAGTTATGGTCATATGGTTTTTATTTAATGAGAGGTATACAAAGGAGCTCTGGTAGCGTAGTGGTTACGAATCGGGCTGCGAACCTTAAGGTCAGCGGTTCGAAACTACCAGCCGCTCCGCGGGAGAAAGATGAGGCTTTCTACTCCCGTAAGGATTTACACCCTCGGAAACCCTGTACAGGGTCGCTATGGGTCGGAACCGACTCGACGGCACTTAACAACAACAACAACATACAACACTTGTTGGACTAGAAATCATGTTGGTGAGTTTCCTCCTGTGTTTTTGTCTAATACTGGACAGCAGGCACATGTTAATTTGAACTTTTGATCATTAGACTTGGTCATAGGGAGGGCACTGGTTGTATAGTACAAGCACTGGACTATGAACCACAAGGTTGGCAGTTTGAGCCCAGCAGCCGCTCCATGGGAGAAAAATGAGGCTTTCTGGTACTGCAAAGTTTACAGTCTTGGAAACCCTATAAAGGGTGGCTGTGAGTCAGAACCGACACATTGGCATTTATTTAACAAGTATGCTCAACAACAACAAAATTATTTCAAAGAAAATCTAAGTTAATACAAACTTGGCAATTTTTCTTTTTGAATATAGCTCACCAGACATTAGATTATGAAAATAAAAAAAAATACCTGTATACTTTTCACACCAGCTCTACAAAAATATCGCTTGATCTCCAAATCGATCTCACAATTTCCCACAAAACTAGAAAAGAAAAAATTCTTAAGTATACAAAGTGAGTGAAATTAACAATTTTCTTAATCACTCTAAATATGAAAGATGGGTATAATAATAGGAAGCAACCAAAATCAGATTGTAAGAAAAAACTGAAATGTGACATATATCATCATTTTTTTTTGAACCCTGGTAGTATAATGGATTACAAGTTGGACTGCAAACTGCAAAGTCAGCAGTTCAAATCTACCAGTCACTCTTCAGGAGAAAGATGAGGCTTTCTGCTCCCGTAAAGATAGACGGCCTCTGAGACACTATACGGGGCTGCTATGAGTCGGAATTGACTCCGGGGCCACCATGTATCATATTTTAATGCTCTAGGTAGTAAGTACTAGAATCAACATTGCTAAAACACATGAGGAAAATACGTATCATACTTAATATGTAACACTCTTAACTAAACATTAATGTTCATTTTCAAAGGAAAATATAAATAATAAAGTTGCAAATTTTGGAACAGTCTTTTGTTGGCATGTTGTTTTTATTTGTCTTACAAACCTTAAGTTATTTAAAATATTAAGAGTCTGTTTCCCCACAAGCAAATTTCATATCCATGCTTCTCAAACATAAAAAAGCTAGCAGTGTTTGGGGGCTCTGTGATGTCAAAAGGTGAAAACAGTGTGTTTGTTTTGGGCACCAATGATGAAGTCATTTCAAATATCAATATGAAATGAACATGAATATAGTATGATATTGAATGCCAAGTTTGCATCTATTTAATATAAACACAAAATGTCAAACAATATTTTCCATTTGATGTTGTGTGATTTGATCCCCCATCCTTGACCCCCAGAAGAAAGAAATTATTCTCTTTCTTGGGAAAGTCTGTGAGAAAATTTAATAAATACTATACATTTAAAGGCTAATCAGATGAATAAATATATTAACAAGAGGTATCTGGTTAAAATTCCTCCCCTATCTACTGGCATGGTGTTAAAAGCAATACCTGTATGATTCTTCCCCATGAGAAGCCACTGATTCTCTGTCTCACTGGCTGAATCACCATGACAAGGTCATCTTAAAATGTTCCTCTTACCCACCACCCTAACACTTGATTGTTTATTTCCTGATACCTTTCAGTTACCTGTTACCTCTCTATTATTAATAATTTAGTTAAGACCCTATTGGAAAAAAACAAAGAGGAAGCATGCAGATTTTTTCAGATACATAAATATCTCAGCAGAAGAATCTGCATACATTGCTATGACTGCTGGACTCTATAAAAGCCAAACAGCATTTTCAAAATGGCACCCATTAGCTGAGACTTTCAAATATTTATTTAAAACATATGGAATAATTACTAGGTGCTGGGGACAAAGCATGGAACAAGAGAAAAATGTTTCAATCCTCATGATGCTTCTGTGTAGCCTAGTGGAAGGTCCTTCCAGGTTAGCGTCTACCTTAAGGCATAAATGGGACTTGCTCTTCTGTTACACTCATGACAATAATATTTGTACCAGTACCAGTATTTTAAAGATGTACATTTTTTCCCATTATAGATCACAAAGATCTTCTATGCTCCTTTCTGAAAGAAGGTAGTTAGTACCACCTTTATACACTTTCTATATTATTTTAGAAACTCAAAGATGACATTAGAAACTAAAATTGTCCATAGTTCAGGGTTGAAAAAAACAAAACAAAACAAATGAAACTCTGAGTTGCTAAGAATCACACCATTGTAAACCAGCCAAAAGCAGCTTAGCAGTCACTGCATACAGTAAGCGATATTGTGTGTGGTTGGATGAGTCCAACTCATAGTGACCCTAACTAAAGACAAAGCAGAACTGCCCCATAGGGATTGCAAGGCTATATAGTCTTTCTGGAAACAGATTACGAGGTCTTTTCTCCCATGGAGCTGCTGGGTGAGTTACAGTTTCCACCTTTTCAGTTAGCATTGAAGCAATGAGCAACAAGGGCTCCTTCCTTCAGTAAACCATGAACAACTTCAAATTAGAAATGGGGACAAGAACAAAAGAAATGAGTCAGTCTTCTGCCAGGTACTGTACTAGATCCTATTCTAAATTTCTTTTATTAACTCGATTATTAGGAACTGAGAGCTAGAAGGCAAATAACATTTGGCTCTCCAATAAGAATTTAGTCAAATTTCATGAAACACAAAGTAAGAAGCATGTTCATTATATGTGTGATCTTATGGGAATTGCTAAGTGCCGTTAAACATTATTAACCACAACACAAATATAACACAAATAAAAAATTTACCTAATTTGAAGGTCCAAAATAATTTGCCTTTTGTCTACATTTTCAGTGTACACCTTAACACCATTGATCCTGAGGGGCTAAGACAAGAAACAGATTATTTTTAAATGCATAAAGCCTTGCATTATAACAAAGAGCTAAGAGAACAAGTTTTAGCATTATACTACAGGAATTCAAAGTTTGTTTTCACAATGTACTGACTTTTAGCAAGTTATTTAATCTGTTTGTTCATCTGTACAATGCAGACAATATTAGTATCTCATGAAGTTATTGTAAAATTAAATGACATAATTAATGCAAATAACTCAATGTATCACCTAGCAAATAGTAAGTGTTCAATAAACACTAGATATTATTATGCCAATATGTATAATATTTCCACCAACCACCACTCATCTGTCAGTTTGTTATCCTGTGGTGGCTTGTGAGTTGCTGTGATGCTGGAAGCTATGCCACTAGTATTTTAAATACCAGCAGGGTCACCCATGGTGGACAGTTTCAGCTGAGCTTCCAGAAGAAGACAGACTAAGAAGAAGGAGAGACAGACTAGTTCCAAATATTTAGTCAATGAAAACCTTATGAAAAGCAGTAGACCACTGTCAGATAGCACCAGAACATTGAATATTGCAGCAATGGGTTCAAATGCTGCAACAAATGGTGCAGGACCCAGGCAGTGTTTCGTTCTGCTGTACACAGGGTCACAGTGAGTCAGTACCAACTCGATGGCACCTAATAGCAACAACAAATATGTAAGTTGGTATATGTTTTTGCTCTTGTTTTCCAGAGGCTCACTTCCATTGTGTCTTTCAATGTAATTGGATTCCTTTCCTCCACTTCATCCTTACTATGCTATTTGAAATATAACCCTCTTTTCTTTGTGTCTTATTATAATTTTTCATTTAAGATTTTCACAAATGTGACACTTCTGAATGAATCAAAAATACTAACTATGAGTATAAGCTTATTTTAATGAAAAAAATTATTTTATTGAGAAGATACACAGCCAAACATACATTAATTTAAACAGTTTCAACCTGTATAAATCAGGGGCCCTGATTATTTTTTTTTAAATCATGCAACCGCCCTTTTCTCAAATGTTCCTCCTCCATTAACATCAACTCCCTAAACCCTAAATTTCCTATCTAATCTTTCAACTTGCTGCTATAGGTATAATTTCAATGCAACAACAACAATATATGATATAGAATCACAATCAAGTAACTATAAGAAAAAGCAAAAGCAGGTTATAATGTTGCAACTCAAAGGTCCAGTTATAACACATTTTAAACCTTTTCCTATTTCTTTGAGATCCCTTCTAAGAAAGTTCTCAGTATCATATCCAAACATGAAATCACCAACACAATGAAGTACCTTACCTTGAGAGTCTTACTTTGACTGATGTAGATGTCACAACATTTTATTTCTCAACTAACTGTAGGATTGAAGGTAAGTCATTATTTGAGAGTCTACACATTTCTTATTAGCCCAGTTTCCTGGGCTTTCTCCTTATGATACCAGTTAAGATTTGTAAAAGCTAACAGAAAGAAAACAGGGTACTGGAAAAAAAATTATTGCCAACATGCACAGGATGGTGTAACAATGAAAAACATAATCACATCATCTCATTAGCAAGTGAAAATGGGCTGTACATAACTTAGTACTTTTATTTCAAATGTTTGCATTCTGTAACATATTCCCTTTCCTCCACTTAAGTGACACCTCAATTTAAGAGAACAAGTAGGTGAATCCAATTCCAAATGAATAAAAGCAGTGTCCAATTGAAGGGCAAATCTGAAAGGAAGTAAAATTTGCCTGTCCTATGGATTATGTTCAGTGCATTAAGTACTAATACAGTGCTTTATCCAGCACTTTACATGTAGGTCTTGTTCCCTTCCTTTATTAGAAAGCCTGCTTGTACAGGCCACTTGAAAGATGCCAGTACAACAGATAACAATGCCCCAGTTACTTTTATTGGATTAGCATTACTCTAAATACGTTTGGTATTCTCTAATGATCTGTTTGTCTACTTGGTATCAAACTTAAGACACACGTACTAGAGAGCACGGACACAATTAAATTCTTCCAACGATAAGTCCATCTCGAGTAAGAATTTAAAATTTCTACAATATGAGAATACCTTGCATTGGGGGGCTGGCAATCTACGGCTTGCTGACTAAATTTGGTCCTTGACTTGTTTTGGCAAGGTTAGCATTTGGTCCTTGACTTAAGAATGGTTTTTACATCTTTTAAAGGCTGTTAAGAGCAAAAGGGTAAAAACAAGAGAGGAACAGGTGACAAGAGTTTTTCTGTGTCCATCAAAGCCTAAAATATTTAGTATCTAGCCCTTGAGAGGAAAAGTTTGCTGATCCCCACTTTATAGTCATACAGTATTTTAATTTGTAGTTGTCTTTGTTCTCATCTGTTGCCATCATTTCAAAGTTAGAGAAGGTAAAAGTAAATATTAAAAGTAAGAATTATACCGTCATCTTGTTCATGCACCTTAGCAGAGACGATCTATAAATGAATGGCATTTGAATAAAAAGACGACCACGTCACTGGTATTAAACAAAATTGGAGACTTTGAAGCTAAGAAAAGAAGTAACCATCACAATACAGAAGAATACTTTTGATGAGCCTGTATTTGAGGCACCGGATTATGAGAAACATTGATGTGACAATTCCCTACACACGGAAAATCAGCTTTTATGTAAAGTGACTATAACACCTAGTTAGGGATGGGGGGACAAAAACAAACCAAAACAATAACAAAATCACCAGCCCCCACATTCTCCAGGTCACATCTATTAAAGACTTCATAGGTTGACATAAAGTTATCTGAACCCTACTACATGGCTTGAATCTGTTGTATGTAAGTTAAATGGGGAGTAACATGTGTGTGAGTGTACATATTTAAAAGTATTAAAAAACTCTGGGAGTCCTGGTGTGGTGCTGCAGGTTAATGTGCTCGACTGCAAAGTTGGTTTGAACCACAAAGTCACAGGTTCAAGCTCACCAGTCACTCCTTGGAAATCCTATACAGGGTCTCTATGAGTCAGAACTGACTCGATAGCACTTAACAACAACAAAAACCTCTGAATTTTTATTAGGCATATGAAAACAATGTTAACTTGAACTATTGCTAATTATTTTAAACACTGACTTAAAAAAATTATAAAGAAAACTTGTCATGATCAACGAATTCAAATGTAGCATTGAGACTTTCATTATAAGTAGTATTAGGTACTAGCAGCTTTTCTTTTTTTATGTAATATGATGCCAATAATACAATCTCTTTCCCCAAACTGCATTTCACCTATGTGATTACTGCAGGTATCTACAATTAAGTAGAGCACCTTTATTTTCATATTGCTTTGTTTTGAAACATTTGGGAGGAGTAAACAAGCTAGGATATCATGTTTGGTAAGGGTAAGGGAGGGTCAGAGAAAAAGAGGATGACACCCAGAAAGATGGACTGGCAAAGTGGCAGCATCAATGGAGTCAAGTGTGGCAACAGTAGTGAGGTTGGCCCAGGACTGGGCAGTGTTTTCGTTCTGTTGTGCACAGGGGTCACTATGAGTTGGTATCGACTCGATGGCACCTAACAACAACAACAACAACATACTAGGCTAATGGCCAATTACTTAACCTTTAGTAAATATTCAGATATCGAATTCCCTTTTAGGGCAGAATGTTGAAACCTGGTGCAAAGACCATTTTAACAGAAGAATATTGGGTAGAAAAACAATGTTGCAAATAAGAGAAACTACTCCATAAAAAATGAAACAGGCAAAACAAAAACAAAAACAAAAAACAGGAAAACCAGGGTGAAAGAATGAAGACACCATGAGGATACTTCCTAACAGAGATGAAAGAAAAGGCATTCCAAATTGTATGACAGATCCTGGAAGGGAACTGAAGAGACACACTAAGTCAAAAGATTTTTTAGTAACACATTTCTCTCAAAAATAATCTTAATTTGTTAAGCATTTAAAATAAGTGTTTTTACAGCAATCCAATTGTGTGTAAAAGTAAGGGTACTTAAGACAAAACTTACCTGCTGACCCATGTCAACCTTCGTGAAGCTAAAGGTGCTAAGGTGCGTGTTTGCACCACGTACAGCTGGTTCTATTGTTTCTCTAAACAGTTTCTCTATAAATTGGCAAATAAAAGGCCACATGTGTTTTACAGTCTAGAAAGGAGAAAGATGATATCATGTTAGACAAGAAAGTTTTAACCCACACTTAAGTCACCATGAGAAATTATGCTCCTGTTTTTTATCAGAATTTGTTTTGAATAATAAAAGGGGGAGGGGAAATTATTGTTACAGAATATGATATGTTACCTACATGATATAAATTTAAAAAGCTATCCCAATAATAGCTTATTGATTACCCAATATGTTGGAGGAATTGGTTATTCTGGTTAAATTTTCTGCTTAAGCATATTAGCACATTTAATGATTGCTGAAAATATGAAAATCCTTGTGATTTCAACTTATTGCCGAAAACTTTCCTAATCTATCTGTTGTTAAGTGCTGTTGAGTTGATTCCAACTCAGAGCGACCTTGTACAGAGTTCCCGAGGAGCAGCTGCTGGGTTTGAACAGCTGAACCTTGTGGTTGGAAATCCAGTGTTGATCCGACAGCTCCATGCCAGGAATCCACTTAATGTGTATCGATCTTACTAATAAGCAATAGGAGTTCTGGCGTGGTGCTGCGGGAATATGCAGTGGACTCTGGGTAGGTCTGAACCTCAGGATCAGCAGTTCAAACTCACGAGTTGCTCATGGGAAACCCCACGCGGGGAGGGCCACTATGAGTCGGAACCGACTTGACGGCACTTTACAACAACAACAACAACACTGAAGTTTTTCAATGACTAATTTCCAGTCCTATAAGATGAGCATTACGTATATTAATTTTTACTATTTAGCTCTAAAGATGCAGAAAACAAAGAGATAAAAGAGACCTACTCAAAGTAGATTGAAAAAAAAAAAACAAAAACATAAGCTTGTTTCTTTAAATAAATGTGTTTTTCAAAAAATCTTTTACTAGATTTCTTGGGAGCTATTTCCCTCTTCATAATAATGTTTCCTAAATTTTCACTTATAATTATTATGAAACAGATTTGAACACTGGCCAATTAGGAAAGACAACACAAGACCAAAAATAAATCTGCGTATATAAATAGTTGTCTCAAGTTAAAGACAAGTTTTCACTCTTTAGTAAAGGAAAATTATATATTTGTCACGACCATGTGCTTAGGGAGCTAGAAACCAACCCACTCAATTTTAAATGATTTCAAATGTTGTCAACATCCAAGTCCCCAAATATGGAAAGATGGCATCGCCTCCTCTAATTCCCATTGATAAGTGGTATTTGGCATGTTCTCATCTTACCTTATTTAGCCACTCTGCTCTTTCAGTGTCTGGAAAATGAACCTAAGAAGAAAAGATACACACACATGACTTACTGACGCCTGACAATTGTAAATAAAATGTCCAGCAGACGACTTAGTATTCTTATTGTGCGCTCTATGTTTACATAATGCTTCTTGAAAACCATTTGCTCCAAAGCTTTGGAGAATGAATCTCTGAGGGGAGAAATGAAAACATCTGGCATGCTGGCTTTACCTTTTAGGAATGCTCTGAGGCCAAAAAGTCTAAAGCCAACAAATGCCACCAGAGCCTTTCCTAGATCCCCACTCACTGTCCAGAGAACAGTCACTGATGTCTGAAACATCACAAAGAGCATAGAAACAGATAATTCTTTTTTAAAAGAGTCATTTTCTCATTCTATTATTACTATTGCTAGCACTGTGTTCTAGAAATCTCAACTCAGGAGCATTAAAAAATGGGGCTTTTTTCCCCCCTTTTGCGTTCCACTTTTGCCCCAAATGGCCCACAGAGGTGTCTTCCATGCTTGGATCCTCTCCATACTCTTCCACAGTCTCCCCAATGTGCACTGTAATTGTAGTTCCCCTTGTAATTACAGGGCCTGTGTGTTGAAGAAAAGAAGTGTTTGTAGAGGTAAAGAAAACTATTTAGAAAAAAAAGGTGGAAAATAAATGCTTTTCTCTTTGCTGTTGGAGATAAAATAAAACACTCCTGCAAAAGAAGTTCAAGCTGTTTGGGGACATCATATAGAGATTTTCCTCTGAGAAACGATGCCCTCCCTCATCAAAAGAAGAGAAGTAGAGGCCATACTAAAATTCTGATTATCTATTTTTGGTTTAAAATGAACAAAGGCTCATAGGCAACTGATACCGAGTACTAACATATGGTCAGAAAAAAATGCACTGATTTTTAGAACTTATGTTCCTAAGCTACAGAAAGTACTGATGAAAGGTAGATCCTCATCTGTCTACCAGCACTCCTGATGTACTCATCTTTGGAAGACAGATCAGTGAGAAGGTAGTTTTGCAAAAATAGTCGAAAGGAGCGGGGATGAAGAATATGATCAGAATGCTGAATCCCAATTAGATGAGTCTTTGAGAGACAACTCAACCTCTCATGTTTGACCCTTAACAACATGTCAACAGCAGCCAATCTTGTCCAAAAGAGGTCAAGATCATCACAGTCATCATAAGCACAGCAGGTCCAAGAAGAACCCTGTCAGAGAGATTCTCTTTCACCCTGAGATCACAAGTAGGAGGAGATGGAGTAGCAACTGGTACTGTTATTATCTGCCCTCTTTGGCCCGCATGCCTTATTCCTTTAGACTGTAGGACAAGACGTGTTTTGTTTGTTTGAACCCTGAAGGTAGGGTGAAAAATGTTGTTTTAAATTTGGTTAACTTGATGAATAAAGTTTTGCTAAAGGTAATACAGAAACGGCTACAATCATACATTGAGAGAACTTCCAGAGGTTCAAGCTGGATTCAGAAGAGGCCGTGGAACGAGAGATATCATTGCTAATAACCGATGGATCTTGGCTGAAAGCAGAGAATACCAGAAGCATGTTTACCTGTGCTTTATTGACTATGCAAAGGCTTTCGATTGTGTGGATCATGACAAGCTATGGACAACATTGAGAAGTATGAGTATTCCAGAACACTTACTTGTACTTCTGAGAAATCTGTACCTAGACCAAGAAGCAGTTGTTCGAACAGTACATGGGAACACTGAGTGTTTTAAAATTGGGAAAGGTGTGAGACAGGGTTGTATTCTTTCACCATACTTATTCAACCTGTATGCTGAGCAAATAATATGAGAAGCTGGGTTTTATGAAGAAAAATGTGGCATCAGGACTGGAGGAAGACTCATTAACAACCTGCGATATGCAGATGATACAACCTTGCTTGCTGAAAGTGAAGAGGACTTGAAACATTTACTTATAAAGATCAAAGAGCACAGCCTTCGATATGGATTACATCTCAATGTCAAGAAAACAAAAATCCTCACCACTGGACCAATAAACAACATTCTTATCAATGGAGAAATGATTGAAGTTGTCAAGGACTTCATTCTTCTTGGATCAACTATCAACACTCGCGGAAGCAGCAGTCAAGAGATCAGACGACATACTGCATTGGGCAAATCTGCTGCACAGGAACTTTTTAAAGTATTGAAGAGCAGAGATGTCAGCATGAGGACTAAGGTGCGGCGCCTGACCCAGGCCATGGTGTTTTCAATAGCCTCATATGGATGCGAAAGCTGGACAGTTAATAAGGAAGATCGAAGAGGAATTGATGACTTTGAGTTGTGGTGTTGGAGGAGAATACTGAAAGTGCCATGAACTACCAAAAGAACCAATAGATCTGTTTTTGAAGAAGTGCAGCCAGAGTGCTCCCTGGAGGCCAGGATGGCTAAGCTTCGTCTCTCATACTTTGGACATATTGTCCGGAGGAAACAGTCACTGGAGAAGGATGTCATGCTGGGTAAGGTGGAGGGTCAGAGAAAAAGAGGAAGACCCCTAACGAGATGGATTGGCCAGGTGGCATCATTGATGGACTCAAGTGTGGCAGCGGTAGTGAGGTTGGCCCAGGATCGGACATTGTTTCATTCTGCTGTGCATGGGGTCGCTATGAGTCGGTTCCGACTCGATGGCACCTGACAACAACAATGAGATAAAAAAAAAATGCACGGGTCAACTTTGCAATGTAGTTTCTAGCCTATTATCAGTAAATTTAAATAAATGGGTTGCCCTCCAAAAAAAAAGTTTTTTTTTTGGTTAGCTTGCATCTATCTATTCTGGAACAAAAAACAAAGGGATAGCAACCTTCCAAAATTAAGAAAAAGGATTAAAAGTTGGGACTATAAGAAAGAAGCCAAAAATTAAAAGAAAAAGTATCTGCTTAAATTCAGTTTTATAAACTAACATGTATTTATGCATACTATTGGGCTTTGCAGTGGGTTTGGCACATTTCCAAAGGCAACTGTCTACTTTTTCTTTAGTTCTTTAATTCTCTTCAGTAGTAAAAATAAATATTTTTTTCCCTCCTTTCCTATCAGTATACACCACAAACAGGAATCCTAGGACTATGGGATAAGCACTGGACCGTAAGATCGGTTTGAATGGCAAAGTGGTTGGTTCAAACTCACCAGCTGCTCCTTGGAAAATCTAGACAGGGTCACTATGAGTCGGAACCAACTCTTGTATTTAACAACAACAAACACTGAAAACAGCTGCTGTCAAGTTAGTGTGACTCACGGGGGTCCTGAGTGAGCAGAACTGTGCTCCACAGGGTTTTCAACGGTTGATGTTTTGGAAGTTGATCATTAAGCCTTTTTTCCAAGTGGCCTCTGGGTAGATCTGAATCTCCAATCTTTCAGTTAGCAGCCAAGTGTGCTAACCATTTACCCCGACCAGGAACTCCTCCATCACTATTGAGACCTACTGTTCCCTAAGCTGTAACGGAGTTGTACTATAAAAAGCTATACTTTTTCCTTAAAGAATATGAAGAAATTTGGGGAACAAGGTGGAGCGAGTTGGTAGGCTTGCAAAATGAGCAAGACTGGTAGCAAAATTGTTATTGCTGGTGTTAAGTGTTGTCGAGTAGGTTCTAACTCATATCGACCCTGTATACGATTTCCAAGGAGTAACTGGTGGGTTTGAACCGCTGACATTGAAGCTCAAACTGACTGTGCAGTGCAGTGCATTATCCTGCAGTGCCACATATGTGAAAATCATATGTAATTTGTATTCTGTGCGATAAAGATGAGGCTTTCTGCTCTCATGAAGATAAATAGCCTCAGAAATCCTATACAGGTTCACTGAGCGAGAACACAACCACCACCATCACTACTTTACAATGCAGCAAAGGACTCCTGGTGTGGTGCTGTAGGATAAGCACTGGACCACAAAGTCGGTTTGAACCGCAAGGTCTGCGGCTCAAACTTACCAGTGGGTCCTTGAAAACCCTATTACAGGGTTGCTCTGAGTAGGAACTAACTCAACGGCACTTACCAACAAATCACTCAGTATCCTCAAAGGCAGATCAGGAGTGTGCTATGTGGATGACACACTAGGGTATACGAAACACTAAAGCAGATATTAAACAGTAGTCCCAAAGAGGCAGTTTACTGTGAAGTTCTCTCCCCTTCTGCCTGCCTACCGCCACCCACACCTTCCTTCTGAATCTAAGCAACCACTAGTGGCAACAGAAAGTAAATATGAAGCACCTCCTATTTGTTAGGACCCAGAACTACTGCATTACAGATTTGTTCCTTGTTTGATAAACACCAGAGCCCAAGTTAACATCACCGCGTGTTTCTATTTAAACACTTGGATACACTTGTGATTTCTTGTGATGTTTTTCTACACCTGCCTCCCTGAGTGGCCTCTCTTGCCTGGCTTACTAAATTTAGCCACCAGAACAATTACTCTAGAGCACAGTAATGTCATTTCACTTTACTTTACTCCAGACCATATACTCCTACTTGTTTGTCAAATAGTTCAACTTCCTCTGTCTAATCTTCAAAGACCTATCTCAAATCACACTTTTTTTGGCTTACAACTCATAAATTGCATTTTTACCATGCTCCTTGAATTCAACCAAAATAAGTGTGGCTCTTTTATAGAGAAATGCATTCTTTATATATCCCTTTTATTTGTATACTGATTTCTCTTTTCTGCCAGTTCTTCCTTAAGAATCAGCTCAATTCAATCCTAGACAGCTTTCCAAATCTGACACCATGCAACTCTAATAAAATCCTTGTCGTCTCTTTATTCATCGGCTTTTGTTTCATCATGAATCTGTAAATGCTCCTCAACTGCTCTGTGGGCTCGGTCTTATTCCCTCTCACCCAGTTGTAGAAAAGAACGAACTTTTCTTTAGACATTTGTTCTAAAGAGATGATGTCCGATTTGCCATCTTTTTCCAGTGAGCAGAGGATGAGTAGTGTGTTCCTTTTCCCCAGTTAGCTGGAGTCATCAGCTATTCTTGCATTAATCTGACACACATCAAAGAAACTCAAGTCTTGCTGTTTCACCCACAACCC